CATCTTCTAGTCAATACAGGATCAATTGAGAGCAAGTTCCTGACAGATATTTATGAGCGGAGGCAAGCTGGCAAAGACAGGGCAGTGTCAGATGCCAAACCCCAGGATACAAGGCGTTATGAGGAAAGGTGATTGGTAGGCATAAGGACTCAGGTTCCATTCAACACCTGTACATTTTCTATTCAGTGCCTGGCACACAGTAGGTACTGACGAAATAATTTGTTGAATTCTGCATTTGAGGTAAGAGAATTGGAACTTGGCTTGGGAAGGGCTGTGGTGAGCTCATGGAGTTCTTTCCTTCTTTTCTCCAGTGGTTTGTGTCTAAAAGTCAGAGGGTCAAAGATGGTAGCATAGTCTGTTGTCCTAGGGCTTGTGAGTATAATGAGAAGGAAGTGGCTTCACTTCTTTGACCATTAGTTTTTTTATGTATTATGAAGAATAGGAAGTAACTTAGGAAGGCTAGTGTAAATTGTGAGTTTTAAAGCAAGTGAGTATAAGGATAACAAAAATTTCTGTCGGTTGGAAATCTAAAAGAGCCAGGGTTTTTTAAACTATTTTTTTTCAGCTTTCATTGAGTTTATTGGTACATTTTCGGGATACAGTACAGTTACATTCATTGTTGGGATCTTGTACCTCTACATGACAGGTCTTGGTTCTCATTTTTTCCCCTTACCTCTGCCCTCCCTTCACCCCCTCCTCCCCTCCCCATCTACAAACACTTTATTTTTATCTTTTCATTCTCTCACATTTTTTTCTTTTCCCTTTTTACTCTTCTCCTACCCATCCAACCTTCCCTACACCTTTAGCTCCTTTTAAACTATTTTTTAAAACTGTCTACTTAGTTATCATCTACAGGTTTTAATAGATCAGGCCTATCTAGAATTAGCCACAGTTCCATAACAATATTGATACAGTAATATATAAAACCTGTTCTAAGCCAATCACTCTGCTAATACCTTTGCCCACATCATTGCTACATTAAAATCTTAATAAGAATTGTTGCTCAATTTAGTAAATATGGAAACCGGCGTTCATTGTAATTAAAGACCGTGTCAAAAACTGAAGGCTGCACAACTAAAAAAATATAACCAGGTCACTAATACAGGTCAGTTTTATTCCAAATATATGATTTTTACCCTTGAAAACTTTCTTTGTCCATTCAATTCTCATAAACAAGGCAAGAGAAAATGAGCATCGTTTTTGTGTCACACCTTGTGCAGGACAGCATGGAAACCATAGCTGTTGACCCCGTGCAACAGAGAAGGATGTCATGGCCCCTAGAGTCACAATAGGACATGAACTGGAGCTCACTGTCACCTTGACCTCAAGGTCACCCTCTTTCCATGTACTCATAGATTTGCTACCTATTGAATATCTCCCCTATATAGCACATAGCAAAATACTATATGCTTTTTTTGAGAGAAGATGATTGCTACTTCTCTTTTGAGCCCCATTTCATTGATGGAAAAACTAATGTGAGAGTTTGAAGTTTAAGAAAGCCTATTAAAAGTTCATGAATGTGTACCTTTTAAAATCCTTAAAGCCTCCTAATTATGTAATTATTTATGTATATGACATTTTTTGAAATATACCAAGAAGTCCACACAGTTTTCTCTTCCCCATAAGCTTATTGTAGGAATTTTAATTCCATCATCAGATATTTATTTTGGGGGCTGAATAATTCCTCTCTTTGGTCAGAAAAGCTTACTGAGGAGATGTAGATTTTGGTAAATAAATAAAGATATGGAGCACAGAGAAAGAGATCATTTTGGAATATGAGGTACACCTTTCAGAGGCATGTGGGGACCCTTAGTGGGGATCCTTGTGCATCCTTCATGGAGAGCACTAGAAAGGGAGAGGCCATCAGAAGACATAGCAGTGACGTAGAAACACAGAAAAGTGCCTCACCCTACCAGTGGGGCGTGTGAGTTAGAGCGGCGATTCTCAAACAAGACAGTTATCTAGAGGGCTTCTTAAAATACAGATTTCTGAGTCTCATGCCCACAGTTTCAGATACAGTAAGTTAGTTTAGAGTCTGAGAATTTATATTTCTAGCAATCTTACGGATGATACTGAGATTTCTGGTTTAGTACTGTGGACCGAGACTGAGACTCAGGAGGTACAGTGTGTTGGGAGAGGGGGAAATGCCTAGTACCTTGGTTTCTGGTCATTTTGTGCTAGAGAAAGTGATGTACATTATGTACAAGATGTGATAAGGACAATAAGAGATGCGAGGGGAAGACCATAAGAATTTAAAACTTTCTTTACAAAAGCACCAGATATTTTACATCTTCTCTCTCTTTTTTTTTTTTGGTCTGTAAACTGCAAGCTAAAACATCTGTAAGGAAAACAGCTAATGAACACTGTACTCTGATTATAAATTTAGATAGCACAAAAATATGTAGAACTGGTATTTAATGCATGTAAAAGAATAACAGCAACATATGTACACTTGAACTGAAACAGTCATTTATTAATTGGAAAATCGCATTTTCTTCCTTTTTGTAGATGGCTTGCATGGTTGCTTTGAAAGTCAGAAAATGGGCCTTAATTACATTGCATTTGTATGAAACAGGTAAGTTTTGTCTTTAACGATGTTCCTTATATTTGGCAGACTTTTTTTTTTTTTTGGTTCTAAATTGCAGCCATTTAGCCTGACCATGAGCATGCTGCCACACGTGGGTGGTTCTGAGTTCTTGGCTATTTATTTCCTGAATCTGAAGAATTGTGTGCTTAATAACCATTGATGTGTGATGAATTTTCAGCTAATGCCTCTGGGTGGACTAGTCTGACTTGTAGTTCAGAGAGAAACTGGAATAGACAGCATAGAAAAAGGTTGTAAATCCCTTAATGAAATTTTTAATAAAAGCAGCTTTCAATGCATGCTTTTTTTTCAAATCATTGCACCAGACCATTTTTGAGAGTTGATATAACTGATGAAGAGAGTGAGTATTAAGAATGCAAAAAGACAGCCCCATTAAAAAGACATTCAAATCTCAGAGCAAGTGCAGGCCAGAACTGTAGCTTTGAACGTGGATGAGGAAATTTTCATGGTGGCCAGTTCTCAGGGAGATTTGGGAATTTCTGCCCTTTAGTTTCTTAACCTTGAAGAGGAAGACTTTGAAGTAGAAATTTGTACGCACCATCACCACCACAGCACTCTGACCCTAGAGTTTTCTCAGTGAGAGGGAGAAAGCTTTGTGCTGCAAGTCTTACCACACTGACCTTTACCAAGACAATGAGGCTACCAGGCTTTCACTGAAGAAGTGAGCTCCTCTCCCTGTCAGGCAGGTTGTAAATCCTTCACTTTTCACTCTTCTGAGATCCTCTTTTCCAGATGGTGGGAGGTCACCTGAATTCATTACTGCTGGTAGATGTCTCCTTGTCAACAGACATCGTGAGAAGATAGCCCATTGTTCCTGGGTCCAGGTACTGCTCTTACCTCGGTATTGAAAAGGTGGCAGTCTTGTCTGAAAGAAGGGTTAAAAGCCATTTTCCCCACTTTCCTTTCTTTAAAAATAACAAGGAAATGTATACCTAAAATGTACCAATAAACTCAATGAGGAAAAAAAAATAGCAAGAATTGTTCTAAAGCCTTCCTCAGAGTCAGGACACAGGTATGCCTTGAGTAAAGTCCTCCTCCTCTTCCATAGCAAGTGTAATTAAATTAAAGAGAAAGCCCCTGAATGAGAGAGGTAATGAGGGCAGGCACAGTTGTCTTCTCAGCATTTATTTGCAGGCATCATTAATAAATTCCCCTCTGAGCCAGCAATCAACCAAATTCTTCCCCTTGGCAAAATGTTTAAATGCTACACAGAAATAGCTGTAATCATACTAAGATTAGAATCAAGGGAGATTTACTCTTTGTGTTTCCTCCCGTAGTTTTGGAACAAGCCTACAAGGCGCTAGGCAAGTAGGTGGTCCCTACAGTCCCATGTGTACGCCCTCAGGAGCCCTCCTTCACTGGCATACTTATTATGTGCACTTGAAAGTTTCCCTTTGCCCCAATTTTAATCTTTAGTGCTTTATAAAATCAGAATGAAATACCCTCTCTGTATGGTTACACGGAAGGGGGGATCTCAGAAAGCCCCACTGAGGAGTAATTTATTGCGGGTTGTTTTATAGGAGAGGGAAAATAAAGGGGGGGATCAGGAGAAAAAAAAGCTTTTTTTCCTTCAAAAAGAGATTTTGTGGCTTTTGGCACTGTTAATAATTTGTGTGGAAAAATAATGTTTTTTTTGTGTGTTTAATCCTGTGCCAAGGCAGCTGCTGGTGCAGTAGCGTTCTGCAACAAATTAGAGGGCAGTTAAAGCAAGATTTTCCACCGTCAAGAACAAAGCAAGGCCAGCTAGCATGAGGACAGCTTGTTCTAGTTGCTAATGTGCTTAAAAACTTGCTGCACATAATTTGAAGCAGCTTTTATGTGAGGATGCCGCAGCCCTGGTTTCTGAGGTCCAGCCCTAATTCCAAACCAGATGGAAGCGGCTGAATTAGAAAATGACGAGTTATGTTCTGACATCGTCTGCCCTGGCCACAAAGATAATTTTTTTCATCATTGCTATTGATATGAAAGTTAATGCTCCTCAATATCAAAATATTTTGTGGATGATTGCCATCTGAAAAATGAAGCCTGAGGCCCCTGTTTACTGACAAAAAACCCTCCATAAGTGTGTGGCAGCTCTCACATACTTACAAATTATTTAAAGATGTATTACCTTTGCTCCTGAGCAAGCAGATGTTAAAAAGATTCAGTGCCTCCTTAAAAGTTGATCTGAATCTTGAATTTTAATCAGTGTGACTTTTTATTTAACTGGCTTGAAATTAAATGGGATTCCTTGGTTCAAATGCATGGGAAAAGACTGAGTTTGAGTCCAAATACCTTTCATTACGTAGAATTTAGAACTTGGATTTGTAACTGGGAGAGAAATAGAAGGCGGCAAATCTTCAGTTGGAATTTTTGCTGAAACACAGGCGGGGCACAGCTGTAGTTGCGAGAGGGTTTAGATCCTGCGTGAGCCAGGCCTAAGGATTCAGTTCCCTAACTCACGTTCACCAGGGTGAATATTAAATGCTTTGCAAAGGCCAAGTGCACCGCCAACGCCCTCACTAATAGGATTTCAAATGCTACGGTTGTAAGTATCCCCAAAAATACTAATGAAAGACATTAAGAAGAAGGCCTTGAAAAAGATCTTAGAGATCAGAATTTCTTGGGAGACTTTATATACATGAAGAAAAATGAGAAGATTTTGGCTAAAATAAATGAAGATAAATAGAAGAATTTTATTTGAAAGGAGTTTCAGAAAACCTATCTTCCATTCATGTTATACCATTAGTACCTGGGGTTAGAAAATTATACACTTTTTTTTTGTTTCACATAATGTCAAATACTGAGCTTTCTTTGACTCATTTTTCTTTAGAAAGTATATAAGTTGGTCAAATATTTAGTATTTATAGGCATTTACCTATTTCTGATGAACTGGGCCGGGGTTTTAGCTCAGTGGTTCCACTGCCTTCCTTGCAAGTGCAAGGTCCCGAGTTCGATCCTCTGTACCAAAAAATAAAATAAAATTATTTCTGATGAACTGAAGTGAAGCAGTTTAGGGATTACAGTAGAAACAGTATAGTTAGGGTCTCTGAGCACACAGGGAAACTCAGCAACAGCCCGTTTGGTTATATAGGCTACACACTGCACAACTTAGAGGGTGCTATTCCGCGTGAAAGTGCTACAGTTCACGTGGCTATTCAAGGTCGTACAGTACTGTAAAAGATGCATGGACAAACTCATTGTTCCAAATTATCTCCTGTGCATAATCACAGGTTATTTTGTCCAACTACCTTTGCAAGGAATAAGCTTTATTATTTTATTTTTGATATTTTGAGACAGGCCATTCCAGTGTCAGGCCTTGAACTTACTTTGTAGCCCAAGCTGGCCTCTGACTCACAGCAATCCTTGCTCCTCAGCCTCCCCAGTGCTGAGATTACAGGTGTGCATCACCACGACTGGCTCAGAGTGAGCTTTAAATAAGTTATATAAGGGAGATCGGCAGTGAAGAACCATGTTTTAGTTAGTTAACACATTAACACCCCCATTTTGTGTGTGTGTGTGAAAGAAAAATTGTCTTTCAGTGTAAAGAAATGTGGTATTTACACACAATGGAGTACTACTCTGCCATAAAGGATAAATTTGAACTATTTTTAGGGAAATTGACATACCTTGAGACAATAAATGAAAGAAGTCAGGCAAACAAGCTTAAATACTTCATGGTTTCTCCTACACAAGAAACCCAAAGTATAAATAATTTAAACAGTAAAATAAAAGATAATAGGAAACAAGGAAATAAACCTTTTCTAAATGTGAAGGAGACCAAGATAGGAGGGAAAGGGGAGGAAAGGGAAGGGAAGGGAATGTAGAAAAATTAAGATGTGCTATGTGCGTGTATCAGCTCCCCATGATGAACATAATCGCTGTGTACTGCAAACATGTACTACTAATAATTTAAAAATTAAAAAAGAATATAGAGCAGCTTAGTTTCAATGATGAAATAAGAAAATGCTAGACATTTATAGGGTTGTCTAGTCTAGGAAGAAACATAATATAGTATTTTAGGCAGCAAAGACATTTAAAAACCCTTGAGGACTTTAGTTGAAAGAGAAAGGAGGAAGAAAAGTGTGGCATACTTAAGAACTTTTCCCGTGACTGTCCCATGTGCAGGTACAAATATTATTTAAAATTTCCAATGTAGCTGGGCGTGGTGGCGCACGCCTGTAATCCCAGCACTCGGAAGGCTGAGGCAGGAGGATTGCTGTTAGTTTGAGACCAGCCTGGGTCACATAGTGAGTTCCAGGTCAGTCTCAACTACGTGGTGAGACCCTGTCTCAAAAAAATTTTTTTTCCATTGAGTCTTACCTTCATTTTAGTGGGAAAAGGCCTGCAGCAATATTGTAAACCATTTTCTAGCTTATCCAGCTTGTACAAAGACCAATCATCTTTGGCCTTTTATTGGGCATCTCTTATCTAAGAATTGAAAGGGCACATATAGTTCTTTACCTCAACTTCCTGACGCGGAAGTATGAGATGAAAAGTACACTATGCGTGTTCTAAGGATTAAAGAAGGTAGAGATCATTTTTAACTGAGGTGGTGGGAAGATCAAAGACAGTTTCTGGTGACAGTGCGTCAGGTGAGTCTCAGGATATTGCTACCACTAACTGGGGCTTTTGCAGCAGGGCACCAAAGTCTTGAAAACTAAGAATTTAAATGGGTTGGAACGTTTTAAAAGATCCTAATACCATTAAAGCTATTAGAATTCCATTGGATTTGCTCATGTTTTTATGCTAGTTATTCTTGTTACCTCTAAGAAACAAGTAGATTAAAAATAAGGATCATAGTGACTAGCAACAAAAGGCAATATTTGGATAAATATTGGCGTAAGAACTATTTCTGTGATATAAGGAGAACATAGGTAATTTCCAACTACACTCATATTCCATTGCTAGCCACTTATCCTTTATCGGTAGAATCATCTAAACGATAACACACAAGCCACTATTTAGCTCATTTGATGTATTTTTTTGGTCAGTCCTGTTGAAATCATTTGGGATACTCTGTGGAACATAGCAGTATTGTTCGGAAGGGTGAGGGGCCTGGAGTAGCTATTCACTGTTTCTCATCTCTTATGAGTTCCTCCAGAGAACACCAATTTCCTGGACTTTCCTGTGAGTTGCTACAACATATTCCAGGGGCCAGATAATATTGTCAGACAGAGGGGTACAGGCAACCATTGGTTTGTAAGGAAATATCCACAGGTGGTCTTCAAGAGGGTCTATGTCAAGCACCAACAGAGTGTGAATGGTGTAAATCTTAAAAAGACAAAGAAGAGACACGCATGTAATTCCAGCGTACCCGTAAGGCCAGCACATCTGTAATTCCAGCACTGGTAGGCTGAAGCAGGATGAAAATAAATTTAAGCCCAGTGTGGACAACTTTGTGACTTAGTGAGACCCTGTCTCAAAATAGAAAAATAAAAGGACTTGTGGTACTGCTTCATTTAAAATCCCTGGGTTCAATTCTCAGTACAGATTTACCTGTTTAACAACTCTTACAACCTGCTGCTCTGACTTATGTTCTGTCTTTTTTTTTTCTTTCTTCCTGTTTTTTTTCTTTCTTCCAGTTCTGTATATCTTACTAATAGAGCCTCAGTGTCTTCTTTTTTCAGTACGCCTTGTTTATACAATGCTATTATTTCTGCTGGTTGTACTATAGATTTATATTCTGTTTTGTGTTACAGTATTCCATATAAGAGTTATGCAAATAAAAGCAAAGTCATCAAGTAAGAGTTTCCTTTGACCTTTTCTTTGTTTTGAATACAGTAATGTACATACTGTATACAATTCCTCATTTAGTGACCAAATCATTTAATGCCCTACTCACAAGAATGGAACTTGGTCATTAAATGAGGAATGTCTGTACTACGAACCAAAACACAAAACAAAATATAACGTAAACAACAACAACAAAAACCAAAGAAACAAGAAGGGTTCTGTGGGTTCTATGAGTGGAACTGAAAAAAGTGTCTTTACCTTTAGACTTCTTAGTAGTTTTAATATTCTTTTTGGGCAAGTTATACAGATTTTATTAAACTTGAACACAGAATACATAGTGGAGGAGCACCTTGTAAGGCTAATGGCTCTGGGAACACAGTTTGATAATATCTCATTCATTCCCTGTGCCGTTTAGGGTGGAGGGTCAGCCTGATTAGCTGTGGGATCAGATAGGGAAATTATTGCAGCACGCTTCTTGACTTGTCTGGGCCCGATACAGAGGTGTGGCTTTGGAGTGTGTATCTGGTCCCTTCCCTTCGTTTTCTCTGGCACCGTTCCCCTGCTGTTCCCCTTGGCTGCCATGAGCTAAGCAACTTTGTTCCACTATTCCTTCTGGCATGATGGTTTTGCCTTGGAGCCAGTAACCATAGACAAGATCCTCTTAAAACAGGAACCAGTTAAGCTTCTCCTCTTTTAGTTGTGCAGATTGGGTATTGGGTCCGGTAACAGGAAAACTGACTTGCAGAGACTTGGTGCTGGAATCTTGTTGCTGTGACTATGCCTGACCATGTCATGTAGAAGCCTTTGGGACTGGTTTGGAGGAAGAGTTTGTAGACCTCAGCTAGAGAAACCCTAGAACGCTGGAAGCTAAGCTAGCTGGTTGATTCTGGTCAGAGCTCAGAAACCCAGAGTGCTGTTAAAAATAATAGAGAGCTGAGTCCAGGTTTAGGGGATTTAAGTTGTGAACAGACTCTCTTAGCTGCACTAACAGAGGTCCTGTGAATTTCAGTGTGTCAGAAAATTTATGTGCTTTCCTGAGACTTTGCAAGAGACTGAGATTAAGGGTGGTGAACTAATTAATCTGGCAGAAGAAATTTCAAGACAGCTTGGTATGTGAGCTATGGCATGAACATTGCTCTCTCCTTTTAGCCAGACTTATAATGGAAATTTGGAGCAAAAGGAAGAGTAGAACAATTTGAAAAACTTAAATTTTGGGGTAGAAGGCCCAGAAGGCTGAGAAGGTATGGTTGCTAAAAAGATTAGCACCATTAATAACCCACGTACTTCATACAGGGACAGAAAGAAAGGATGCCTTGAGGGCATCTGAAAAGCAGCAGGACCCCCGCTCCCCTAACACCTCACATTCCATTCCTTCAACCTGAAAACTTTTGCAAAGGCTTAGGTGACTCATAATGAGAGGCTGAGACAGTTTGTTCAGTATTTGTGTCAGAGACTGTATGAATGATTAATTGTGGTGAAGCTGTGCTTCTGGCAAAACAGTTCAAAACACATGCAGATTTTATTGGTCAAAATATATCAAGAGTTTGAAGAAAATACTGCAGGAATATTATATTTTTAAAATGTCGTCTTTTAAATCTTATCTAGATGCATATGCATTTTTTTCCTGTTACCATATGGTGGTTATAATTTTGTGTTATCTATTAGCATACTTTATATTTCTCTATTCTTAGTTTTTATTGAAACATCTATTTTTAAAGAATAATTTGTTTTTATAAAAGTGCTCATCAAAACGTCAAAACGCAAAACTACAAAAAGTAAAACAATGTTCAAAATTCTGCATTAAAAACTAACCATCATTGACATTTATTACACATAATTCTAGACATACTGGCATTATGTTTTAATGAGAAAGGCAGATAAAGTAAAACGGTGGTAATTGTTGAACTTTAAGTAAACCACTCTTTAACAAAATTCAGGCCTTCCTAAGGTGTTCCTTTAAAGTTTCTTACAGCTTTCACTCTGCCTTCAAAGACAAGAAAATTAGCCTTTCTTCTGTTTTCCTTATCCATTTTTATCTTTGTATTATTGTGTTATTATTTTAATATCATCAAGTTATATTTGCATTCTGTTCTTTAACTGTAATTTCCATTGACTTATTTTTTTAGTATTTTCTGTGGATTCATGTCTTGGTTAATTGGAGAAGGGCTCTTGAGTTTTACATACCTGAGCCTTTTCAGGTTTTAATGTAGCACAATCCAGTAGATCTTTCTGTGGTAACAGTATCTGTGCTGTCCAGTGCAGTAATTACTAGTCATCTGTGGGTTGTTGAACACTTGAAATATGGATAGAGTGAATTTTAAATTTTGTTTTAGTTAATTACTAATTAAAAATTTAAAGGCTACATGTAGCGAATGGTCAATAGGCCAATAACTCTGCCTTTAATATTCTTTAGCATATCTTTATAATCTTATCTTAGGTCACAGTTTTTATTAGAAATTTGGAAGTGTTGAATACTGCCGTGAAAAATTCTGAGGTTTGCTTCTGTATTTTACATTTTGAAGATCCAGGAAGTTGGCAGGGAGAGAGAGCTGCGTGGAGCTGTTGTAACAGGTAGGATCCAAGATGCTTTGCCCCGTTTTTCATGTTTACCAGCCAGTACTAATAACAGGGCTTCATGTCCACATGGAATGCCCACAGATAAAGGTTATTATATCTGCAAGGTGGTTGGTTATTGCAATTTCACAATAGAAATTTAGAGAGATTAAATAATTCGTCTGTTATGTAAACAGTAAATTGCAAACATAGGTTTTAGTTCAAATTTATTGCTTTTCTACCACCCCATATCGTTAATATTTTTAGCAGTAAACTATTTTCCTAAAAAATAAAATCTTGATTAGAATTCTAAAATATAATTGTTGAAACTTAATTCTATAAATACACTTTAAATGCCAAATTTAAGACATTAACTATTGGTAAACCAATCAGTAAGACTAGTGAGGATGTTTTAATGAACACCAAAATTTGAAATCAGATGTTGTGACTCACAGTTACTGCCTGTTACTCAGCAGACAATTCATTTCTATCTGGTTTGGTTTGCTCTGTCATGAAACTCAGGATTCATGCCGATAAATAGTTGTAATGGTCACTTTTTAAAAAATAGTATGAATTCAGTTCAGGACATTCCTCAATAAAGTTGATCCAGGAACTTAAAAGAGGAGTGATAGAAAGTTTATTTTAAATTTGACTCAGTTACATCCAATAAGTGCTTGCATTTCTTACCCCCCCCATAAACCTTAAAACTATCTAGAGTATCATATTTGTCACTGGTTCAGTTATAATTAAGTGGTTACTGAGCTATGTCAAATACTTGGGCCAAATGGATACATGTGAGTCTTTTGTCTTCGGAATTAAGCAGAATATCCTATAATGCCTCAGGCATTTACCTGAAAACTTTTACATTTAAAAGATGAATGTAGACCTGTAATGTTTCCAATTAATGACATATTTATGAGAAATTCGTAAATATATAAATCAAGTATGGGAGGCTTTTGATATATGTAAAAAAAATTAAAATGGGTAAATCTGGCAACATGAGTGAAACTTTGAAGATCTTCAGTATCATATACTCTGGTATTTACATATGCAAACCTGTATTTTTTTCTAAACATAGTGTGAAATATGCTTGAGATTCTATTTGAGCCAAGTAACCCATAAAACTATTGAATTCACCTTGACTTTGTAGCTTATTAAGTGTCTTAGACTTTGATATATAGTTGCAAATATTTAGGTTTGTGTATAGCTTCTATAAAAAAAACATTGCCTCAAGCTTTCAAGATTTTGCTTCCAAACTCATTATTTCATGTTCTTTTGTGGGCCCCCCACCCCCAAAAGGGAGCTCATTTAGTTCTGTTAGTTCTGCCCTGTCAGATTTACAGAGAATCAGTTTGTGAGTAGACATCATGTAGACCTTGGATCTCTCTCTCTCTCTGTCTCTGTCTCTTCCACCCCTCATGTATGTATGTACATGAGTGAATGTGTTGTAAATTATGGGAGTCAGTGACCCAGGAAATGCTGTGGGCTGATTATGTTACATATTCACCAAAATCCTGTGTGAAAATCCTTAGCTGGTCAGCTTTTACTGGGATAGGTGCCCAAAATTTTTTCACCAGTCTGAATCAACTTTTGGCAGTTCTGTATAGGCATTCCAGAAGTGGACATTCCTCTTCTCTGGCTTTCTCTTCAATTGAAATTCTAAACTTAGGTGATTTCTCACTCTTTTTCTAGTCTGTGACCACTTTTAATCTCCTTAATAAAATAGAAACAGGTCATGCAAGCAGAGGGAACAGGGATCAGATGTGGGCAGACAGTAAAGCCTAAAGTATGCAGAACACAAATCATACTCTGACTTCACATGTGTGTGGAAACAGACATGCTCTGTTAAGTTAGGAACAGCCCCAAGTGTGGGTTCAGATTTTTGTCAAAATACTGTATAGGAAAAGTAAGAAGTTAACATCCTTAAAGATATCTCCTTCATGAAATTTGAGATATAGGATAGATTTATTCACTGAGTAAATGAAGACTGAGATCTTGGAAGACTTTTACTCCTCAACCATATCTGCTGTATGGGGAAAATGAGATGCAGGCAAGTACAAAGGATTCTGCAAACCCACAGGTCAAGTGAGTGCCAGGTCACTTCAGGGATTAAGTGCTAACTGTTCAACTACTACTTGTTGAACTTAACCTGAACAAGTTCAGGCTTATTAGATCCGGTCCCTGTCCTTACAGAGATGACCATATTGTGCAGGAGTAAGTGCTTGAAAGTTTAGTACAGAGTGGAGTAAATGTTCCTAAAGTGATATTTTTTCACATTCTTTAAGCTTCTAAAGACCTACTTTAGAACTTATTCTTGCTTCTGTAATCATCAGCCAACATTTATGAACTTGATTATTTCTCATAAACCTCGTTAAGGTAATTACTCTTATGGGCTTCAAAAGACCTTAATGCTTCAAATTAGAAAAAATACTCTCAAGAACAAGGAGAGAAGCCACATATTCAGAGAAAATATTTACAAAAATATCTCTGATAGAAGACTGTTACTTAAAACAAAACAACTCAAAACACAATAAGATAGGAATTTTGCTCATTTGTATGATTCACAGTGTTTTGGTTTACTAGTTTTAGGACATATTTACAGGATGCCTTTGTGTTGATCCATCCTAATCACTGAGGAACATATCCCATGTTGGATGCGAGTGATATGAAAGACTTACCATTATAATGAGTATTGCGGTGACCTGTTTTTGACTTTCTGATATTGGACATTATTGTCAATAAATACAGATGCTGTTCAGTTTAAAAAAAACAATAAGAAAAGTAACCATCTGATTAACAATGAACAAAAGATCTGAACTGACACTTCAGCAAAGACAATATACAGGTGGCAAAGAAGCATCTAAAAAGGTGCCCCACATCATATGTCATAAGGGAATTGAAAATTAAAATGGTAACTACTGCATACCTATTAAAATGTTAAAACCAAAGGATGTGGAGAAAAAAAGGAATTGTCAATCATAGCTGATGGGAATACAAAATGGTCCACCAGCTTGGGAAGCCAAACCGGGGATTCCCTTTTGAATTTGTTTTTCATTTTGATATTATCTATTTTCCTGTTGTATTAATGTATGCATGGGTACACAGTGAATGCATTCACCGTGGGACATGGGCTCCTATGCACGCCTCATCTTGGCCCTTTATGCGTCCCCGTCCCCTCCACCCTTCCAGCCCCACAACCTCATATTTTGGCTCCCAGCCCCTCAGTCTCTCTCCCTGATTTTTATCATTTATTCTTAGTTTGCTCTTTAAATTATTTATACTTTAGGGTGCTAATAAAAGAGAAACCATGTGTATTTCACCAACTTTCTATGCCTAATTTATTTCACTTAGCAACATGGTTTCATGGTACGTCCATTTTTCTAAACATGGCTCACATTGGTCTCTCTTTGTAACTGAGTAGTAATCCACTGTGTATGTGCACAGCACTTTCATTATCCATTTATCTATAAACAGGTAGATAGGTTTCTTCCAAGATGTAGCTGTTATAAACAGGGCTGCTATAAACAGACATTCATAGATCACGATGTCCTTAACTCTTTTGGGAGAATATCCCGAGGAGGAATAGCAGGGTCAAATGGTATTTTTATTTTTAGCTTCTTGAAGAATTTCCTTACTGGTTTCCATCGTGGTTGAACTAATTTACATTCTCAGTGACGATGTAGAAGGGTTCCTCCCTGTGGCCCCTGCGACCTTGCCCTCATTGATTATTATTTACCTTCTCAATATTAGCCAGGCTTTCTGGAGTAAGAGGGAATCTGAATTTTACTTTAATTTGCATTCTCTAAAGGCCAGATACTTTGAATATTTTTAATGTATTTATTGACCATTTGTACCTTTTCTTCTGAGAAGTATCTTTCCATTCCAGTTGCCCATGTTTTGATTGGGGTCTTTTATTTTGGCAGGGATCTAATTTGAGGTCTTTATGTATTCTAGATATTATTCCTCTGTCTGAGGAATAGCTGGCAATTTTTTTCCCATTGTAAAAGTTGTTTCATTGCTCTGGTAGTTATTTTCTTGCTATGCGAAGGCTTTTTAATTTGAAATGATCTGATGTTTTGATTCTTTTTTTTCCTTTTTATTGAGTTTATTGGTACAATCTAGGTCTACAGTACAGTTACATTCATTACTGGGATCCTGTACATGACAGGTCTTGGTTCTCATTTTTTCCCCTTGCTGCCCTCCCTTCACCCCCTCTTCCCCCCCCCGTGATGTTTTAATTCTTGATGTTATTTCTTGTGCTGTTGGGGTTCTTATCAAAAAGTACTTTCTACACATATGTCTACAAGAGTTTTACCTGTTTTATCTTTTAGTTGTTTAAGTATTTCTGTTTTGATGTTTAGATCATTGATCCATTTTGATTTAAGTTTAGTACATGATGAGAGATACAGGTTTAGGGTCAGTTTACTGCATGTGGATAGACAGTTTGCCTAGCAAGATTTGTTAAAAAGCTGTCTTTTTTGCAACATGTGTTTTTGGCCCTGCTGTCAAAGATCAGATGGCTGAAGGTACTTAGGGTTCTTTCTGCTTCATCGGTTCTGTTCCACCTATCACATGCCTCTTTTTCACATTTTTTTAAACTAATTTTTTGGGTACATTTGAGGTATACAATATGATGATGTTCAGCATTGGAATTGTACCTTTATATAATATATCTTGGTTCTTATTTTTTCCCCATTCCCCTGCCCTCTCTTCAACCCCTCTACTCCTCCCTATTCATACTCTTTGTTTCCATTTTTTCCTTTCCTTTACTTCCCCTACCTCTCCCATTTCTCCTTCCACTTTGGAAATTTTCTTCCTGTTTCACATTGTCTATTATACATTTTGATCCTCATTTACACTTTCAGTTTCTTTTTTTTTTTTTTTTTTTTTTTTT